AAGGAATTGGTGGTTTAATTCAAATTTTAATATAAGCTACCTACTAATGTATTTTGTTTTTCTTCAATTTTGACATTAATAATCAATTTCATTTGAAATAAGAAACAAATAAATAAAATTGGAATTTAAAACAAAATTAATAATTACCCTTTTATTTTTATTTACGAAGCAGTTGGTGTTATTTTTATCAATTCTTGTATTATATTTTTTTTAGCAAAGGTACTGCTGGCCAGGAAAATGGTTAAATTCGCACCGGATTAAGGGTCTTTAAAGTCAGAGATTATTTAATTTGATAGAGAGTCGCACGAAATTATAAGTGTTTATTAGAGTGTGGTCTTGGGAAAAGATTGTTAACCCTGCTTTTATCACTTAAGTGTTAACTTTGAAACGTAGGATCAATATTTTTAGAACACATTTAAAGTTCGAATGAAAGAAGATTTTTCACAGACAGTTTTACATTGTAGTAACAGTGATTAATAAAACGAAACCAATTTGTAGAAACAAACTCGATTAAATTTCTGAAACTTAATAAAATAATTAACATCATGCAAGTATTTAGTTAAGTTAAACACTCCAAAAACATATTTAGTACTCCTCACTAAATAGTAATTCGGTTTGTCTATTCAGTAATTTCCAGGCAGAATGATTAATTTGAAATTGGTTGAAGAGGCCTAGCAAACAAATTTTACTTGCCTTCAGAATTAAATTAGTTTCAGACTGCTATTTTAATCGGAACAAATTTTATTTACAAGGAATGGTATCTTAGATGAGTTACTCATTCATATGAAACAGATTTAATGGTGGTTGTTAAGTTTCATGGTTTTTATACATTTCCGCATAGAAATTCCAATATACACAATGCTATTTACCTCTAGCAACAATAATGACTCATCTATTAAGCTCCTCATTAAAAAACTTTTTCTACGATGGCCCTTCAGTTGAAAGTGGACATGGGCCTTTACATCTTCGTATTCACAGTAAATGTTAGTTATCTCATGAAAATTATATGTATAATAAAGTTTCATGATATATACACATTTGAATTTGAAATATTTCCGAGTTATATTAGGTTGAGTCGTAATATTGAAATACACAGTGAATTAATCTGATCTCTCTATAGTTTTTTGCTGTACATCAGATATTAATGTATTATTATTTATATTTAAGAATTTTCTTTCAGTCACATATGCGATTACACGTCACTATGTGAAACAGTGCCGTTTCAGGCCAATGTCAAACAATGCCGGATTACACTAAACTGGAATACGATCCTTTGAATTACACTTTTCCCCTTAAATAACAAAGTAGTATTTATCCTTTGAATAAAGAAAAAAGAGAAACAGACTTATCAGCGAAGCCAGCCGTAGGCTGAGGAGGCTGATGTAAGCATTTAAAATGACACTCGCATTACTTCGTACTTTTCCCACCATTTTCAGTTAATAACAAATTGATTGCAAAACTCCGCAATCTTGAAATTTCTTTGGCTCAGTCACAATTTTAACATATTATCAGAATTATAAATAAAGATATCCTGTAAGGGGTCATAACTTCTTTCGTAAGGGAGACCTACCTTTTATAATGTAGCAAGTGAAGTCAGAATTTTGCTTTTGGATGAAACTTTTCATTTCCACTCATCCAACTCTGCCACGTTTTCCCTTCTTTCCGACTCCCATCTCCCTCCCTGAAACCTTCGCTTTTTTGAATTGCTTCTTTATTTGCTTCAGTTTAAGGGCGCTTTATGAAAATATTAAGGTAGAGGCAATATTCAAATTTAAAGGAAACGTACTTTTCTCGAGTTCCTTTTGTGATAATATAATACTTATATATTAATTTTTGGTTTTTATTTATAAATAATGTGAAAAAACTTACGCCATCTATATTACTTTTTCTATTTGTACCTATTATGTACTACGATAGCAAACGTACAAAAATGAACACGTTGCTACCGTTTAAGATTTTAAATTTTGAAATACCTTAATTATGAATAAAATTAACAATTGTAAATAATTTATTGTATTTCTGAAGTATATTTATAATGATATTTTAGAACAGTTTTTAAACGTTCATAGATTTTAAAATTCGTGTTTTTTTCTTTTCATTATCTTTATATTATTTATATTCTATACTTTCTATTTCTATTATTTTAAGGGGCAGTAATCCACTTCTGGAAACTATTCAACATTATTGGTCCCATTGCTGTACATCTCTTCAGGCTTTCCATTACACTGAAGTACCTGTAGCTTTTGTCTAGTCTCATTGATCTTACTCCAGACCTCTCATTCCTCCCCTATGTATAAATCTGTCGAGAGTTATATACGAGTACAGTCGGTTCAAATTTCCCTTCGGGTATCTAAAGGGAGACTATACATTGCTACACCCAGTTCTTGAAATGTAGTGAGCGTGTTTCCGCCTGTGACGCGCTCCATTGCGACAACTTCCAATACTTACAGTCGCACCACTCAGCTCGGTGCGACAAGGGGAAACGCCTAACATTGGGCTTGGGAGATTGAACACTGATTCAGAATTCCGTCCATATCACCATTCGCTTGGCGACTAAGGAACATATAGGTATTGTGGTGAGTTATCGTTTGCATTTCTAATGAAATAATTATAGAGGACTAGGAGGTAGTCGTTTTTGTGGCTTCCATACAGCAAAAAACTGATGATGATGGCTAAGCCATCGAAAACTGCTTTTTTAATAAATAATTGTGTTGGCAATGACGACGTATATAATTATTTCGACGTAAGTAACATTTGCTGCACCTTTCTTATGCACTCTGCAACAAAATTTCCATATGTTAAAATGACCAATACATTCTTCCGCAAGATAATAATAATAATAATAATAATAATAATAATAATAATAATAATAATAATAATGTCTTTATTAATGGCGAGGCTCAGGCCATAGGGCCTGCTCTTCCGCCTAACCTCAAGATAGGGTTTCATAAGCCTTTGAATCTTTTTGTTTCCAGCATAATATTTCTTTGACCATTTCAAAACGACGGCGATTATCACATTTCTTTTTGCAGAACTGTCATCAATTTAAAAAACAAAATCTCTATCTTGTAGGTTCAAAAGAAACTTTGAAACATCTTTCATATAGCCAACAAAATTTCTTAAAGCACGACTAATCCGTAATCACTTGTATTAGTCATTCTGTAAGTCCTTCTCCTCGTTTTTTTTCTGCTGACGATATCATAGCTATCTCTCGGAAACAGCATTTTCGTCGTCCGCTAGTGAATTTCTATGAGGCGGAAGGGCCATATTATGGCGACTCACCGAATCCTGAGTAGTTGGGATGGGTTCCTTACTTTTTGCCGAGCGCCAAATATCCGGCCCTCGCTCACCACTGCTGGCAAAAGGCGATACAATCAGCTGCCGTGTTGGCACTGTGTCTCGGTGAAGGAACGTACAAGTATGCATGCACTAAGATTGTATGTTGGAACCCGCATAAAATGTTTGTTTTCAATTGTGTTTGTGACATGGGGAGAGGTGCATTACAAGACTCTAGTTAATCATCCCTACATCTCCCAAAATTTCTTACGATAACTGTGTGTGAGACGTCTGTTTGTACTGTTGAACTAACTGCTTAATCCCAAAACAGTATAACAAGCACCTAGATCAGAGAAAAGTTACCATGAACATAGGCTAAGGAACGAGACGGACCTAAAAGGTATCCTGGCGTGATGTTTGAGGAGCATGAGGGAGTATTTCATTGGAAGTATTTCCAAAGGGACTGCAGTCACCGCGGGAAGCTGCGATAGAACCCTCAGTTGCTGGTTGCGGTCAGCGGAGAAAAGGGTATTGCAAAACCTAAAATGCAACCTTGACACAAAGGAAAATGCAGTTAGCTAGTATGGGAATATCTTCTGCAAAACTACTCGTTTAATTTTTGTCTATCTAGTTGTTTCCCTGTCCGGGACAATTTCGGAAATGACTAAACAAATTGAGCAGTTTGGAAGGTAGAATATGTTCTTGGACATAGTTAAGGTGATTTTCAGATCATTATTATTTTCCGTTATGCAAAAATGAATTTTTTATACAAATCTACGGTTTTATTTTCACCGTAATGAAATGTTGAAGTCATCATCTTCAAAGCAAATAAAATTTACTTTTTTGCATGAGATTATATAAAAACTATCATATCTGTCTCTCTTAGTCTTTAAAACAAAATTTGCTGTGCGTTTTTTTCGAATATCTGAAATATGTGACAATATCTATCGAAGTGAATTAAAAGTGTATGAAATATATCTTTCTAAAAACGTTAGTTCTAAATACATTTTTATTCATTCCAATATCGCAATTAGGATTCTAATAATTAAACGCTAAAATCGTGATTGAAGATAAAAAAATTTGGAACATAAATACCCGAACTACATGGCTTGTCGCTAACATAACTTACCTGATAAAATAAAATTGGTTCATACAATTGGTCATTGGGTTTAAAAAAATAGTTGTGCCAACGTTTCTAAATATTTAGTTTTTTCGTCAGTGTTTAATAATAATCATAAAGGTGATGTCGCATTTCAAGCCACCATACCCAACTCCACGTGGAGTTGCTGAAGCCCGTGGGACCTTCGCGCGTCAAAGTGTGAATCGGGCCGAGGCCCATACCAAAAAGTGTGATGGATTGAAACGAGTCTTTATCTTTATGATTATTAGTAAGGTGTGTACTTCTATATTTTGGTGTTTTATTTATCTAAGTTTATAATTATTTTTTCTTTGTGTGTGTTATTGTTAATTAATTAATTAATCAATTTATTGTAATGGTTGTCCTCATGCACTGTTCATTATTTATACTCCAGCCCTGATGAAGAAATTAAATATTCCGAAACGTTGGCGCAACTAATTGTTTCTCTAACCCCAATGACCAAACCCATGAACCGATTTTATTTTATTATTCATCAATGGTCGTGATTCCACAGTGGTTGATAACTTACCTGATTAACCGTGTAGAGGGCTTTGATCAACCAGCAGGTAATGACCGTGAGGATAACGCACGGAAGTAACTTGATGACGACGCTGTACACCCAGAAGTTGACGCGGTTGAGCACCTCGTTCCTGGGCCTCACTTTGTACGCGAGAACGAAGCCCATGACGGGCGGCTGCACCTCCATGGCGCACGTCTCCTGAATCTCAGACGCCACGTAATTAGGCGCGCACACCACCAGGGCGAGCGCGTAGCTTGCGCCGATGGCCACGTGGCTGCGCTGCTGCGTGCAGAGAGCGTGCGTCCGGTCTGGATACCTACGAGAACATAAGGAGCAATTGAAAACAAGTTGCAGTAAATAAAGAAAACGAAAACACTCAATTTAATAGTTTAAGTTACCTATAGAGACGGAAACATAAGTTGACTCACAGAGAATTTGCCACATAGCAATTTTTCATTGCTCTGCAAAACTACTGACTTAAATTTACTACCAAATTACTTTTTCAGACTCGTTATTAACAGAGTTCGATATACACTGCTTAACTTCCTGGATGGAGCGGATCATGGTTGCAGGGTTGAAAACAGTCAAAAATGCTACATATTATTTTATGGTGAGAATTATATGAGGGCATTAGAAAGGAAATCATGGGAAGGAAATATGAAAAAAGTTATACGAGTTAACAGCTATTTAATTAATAATAAGTCAATTTTAATCTTTAGAATTGCGACCTCAGCGACCTCCCGTGCCTGTTGCCCGTATTTTCCTGTGGCGCTGCCACCTCGCTGCTGGGCTCCGGTGCCGGCTCTTTCAAGGGGGCGCGGGCGACTTCTACAGAATCCCGAGTTTGTCAACACGTGGATAAGAATGGCAATAAGATACAAATGCGAGAGAGACTATGAACTCTAGTAAATGCTAATGTTTCATAATTATTTATTCAATTTTATATTTTATTTAGTCACTCATTTATGTACTTATTTATTTATACTTGTTTTAGGGTTTAGAGTCTGTAAGATAATTCAGGCTTGGGAATGATAATCTTACGAGTAGTGAAGCGATATGAATGATGATGGGAGGGTAAAGGAATGAGAAGCACGGTAAACGGAATACGCCCAAAAAATCAGCTTCGAGCTTATTGTGTCCTCAAATTCAACATGGAGTGGCTGGGGATCGAGCTCGAGCTTCAGTGGGGGAAGCAAATGCGCTAGATATTACGCTAAAAACTACCCATCTGCCGTGTGAATTGAGCCATGTGCATGGTAGTATGTAGCAACAGCGGAGTGTCAGAGAATCTTCTGTGTTAACGCCTCTTTGGAGTGCGTACGTTGCACATTATTGAAATAGGCATGGGCAAGGACGCCAGCGAGGACGAGGACAATGTAATTGAGTGATAGTCGAGGAAGAGTCGAGAGAGAAAGAGTCGAGAGAGAAAGAGTCGAGAGAGAAAGAGTCGAGAGAGAAAGAGTCGAGGAAGTGAAGAAGAAAGAGGACGAGGGCGAGGAAGAGGAAGCGAGGGAAAAAGAGGGCGAGGAGGGGGAAGAGATCGAAAACGAGGACGAAGAAGAGGTTGAGGAAAAGAGGCCGGCCACAGGCAGCGAGGATGCAGGTAATGTGTGGGGACGAGGCCTCTTGGGAGCATTCGGGTGAGGACGAGGACGAGGCTGCGGGCACGGGCGCGTGGAGCCTCACCCACCTGATGGCGAGGTACCTCCAGACGGCGAGCGTGAGCGTGATGCAGATGGAGATGGTGTGCAGCACCTGCGTGAAGCACGCGTGGAACAGCATGTAGACGGCCCACGGGTAGTTGTGGCGCGCGGGCAGCGCCACGTACATGTGGCAGGCGAACGGGACGTACTCCAGCGTGACGAGCAGGTCGGCCACCGCCAGCCCCGTCAGGATGCGGTTGATGGGCGCCGCTGCCATGTCTTTCCGCGTCAGCACCTGCGCATGCACGCACGCACACCCCTCCCTGTCACTATCACTTCTTATTAGCCAATGCATATCCCATTAAAGCGCAAGGGGCTGCTGCTTCAGCAGGGTACTGTTAATACTTCTTTAATGAAGTGATGATGAGGGGTGAAAGGACAAACACATCCATTACCAAGGTGGAATTCGAAGCCGCGATCCTTCGATCCGAGATCGCCATGACAGTACTGCCTTAGCGATATCGGCTACCCGGATTGGCTTCACTATCATTACTATCCCGTATATCCGCGAATAAAGATATATGGAGTCTGGTAAATATAAAATTTACTCCTGGTTGCAACTAGCGAGGAGCAATTCCAGAAGCTGTAGGTGCTGTACATTGCTCACATTCCGATTACGAAATGTCTTTCACATCACATTCTTCAAAATGACCTGCGTATTTGAATTCGTTTTAAATGAATTAGGTGGATCAATAGCCAGGGTTGCGTTTGACTCTCGGTGCGCCTAACATTCTGCTGATTAATTTTATACTATTATTTTTGCACTATTTAATAATGATACTTTTCTCCAATAATAATATTGTGTTTTGTGATTACGATTATTATGAATTTGTTGTCATTTTCTTATTGTTCATTAAACACCAGAAATTGTAGTTTTTGGTGAGTGTTCGCACCACTTGGAGCATGTGCTTTAAACTTTGTTGTTGGTATTATTATTATTACTATTATTATTCTTATTGGTTTTCTTACGCCCACTACTTACATGATTTCCTCATGAGTTATGCTATGCCTGTCTCATAGTCAGTTATCGGCCTAACATCAATACAGAGTGAATCGTTTAGCTTGCATACAACATTTAATGACATTTAAATATTATTTTTATGTACTCACTATATAATTATGTCTGTAGCCTGTAGTATAATAACACTCATTGCAATTCAGGTTTCATTATGAAACAGGTTCTTTACCAATAACAAAGAAGTTTACCAACGAAGCATTGAGACTCGTTCTAGTAAATGTTTCATTCGATTAAAATTGCATTTAATATTTTATTATGCTTTTCAAGAGTTATTTTATAATTAAAAATTTTTACGTAGAATATTATTTAAAATAAATTGGATCGTAATTTCACTTTCATCTTATTTAACTAGAGCAGTGGAAGTGTTAGGGGGAACATTTTACTTAGGTTAATATGAGGATGCAAGTCATTTTGTGTTATATGTTGCTGCTTTGTGATTGCCCTTAAAAAACTACCAATTTTTTAGTTTAAAATATGTAGTGTATCAGAGGTTGAGTTGGTGCCTCCAGAAATAAGAGGAAAAGCGAAATTGGTGACCTCGGAATTATTGCCGCAACTTTTGTAATCTCTCGCTGTCGGACTGGTAAACGAAAAGTCGCGTACGGAAGGGTAGGAGAGCTATCCACTACGTGGCCTTGCCTAAATTCCGCATGTCAACTGCTACGAAACGATTCAATGTAAAAGTTTAACGTATAAAAGTTACCATTAGTCGTAGAGAAAGTTCGAAACTCGATGTAGTGGTATTAATAAACTCGTGTGAAGTTAACGATACTCACTTATATCGTAATCTCACACTCATGTATTAATACCCATCATTACATCATCGTTTCATAATGTTCTATTTCATTAGAAAATATTTTGTTCAGTTTGTTGACAGACGCTCTAGTAATCAGCAACACTTGCCAAAGCCAACGTGTACCAAAGGCGTTAGCTTTTTGTCACCCGATATCACGAGAATCAGTTAACGCCCTTGGTACACATAATATTTAATTTTTACCCAATTCTAATGATTCAAATTTACTCATTTAATAATTAACTAGATGTTAACTTGATTCGTTTTGTCTTTTCATGTTTTCCTCCCATAATTCCCTCTCATAATGCCCTCGTGTAGCACAATCCAAATGTTTTCGTATTTTCCTCGTAACCACGATCCTCGCAATGCAAGTAAGTTATATAGTGTATCAATAACAAACAATAACGTGTCAGTAAAAAATTTAAAAAAAAAAGTTTTTAGAGATGCACTAGCAAAAGCGATTCTTTCAGGGCATGCGTGGTGTGCTAAAATTTCAATTTTTAGCACTAGGGTTAAAAGTGAGAAGATGCTCAAGGGTTCAGATATATCTGTGGAAACTAGAAAAAAAAATACTCAGCTACAACTGACCTCCATGTTTCATTAAGTGATTTGTATACTTGAATTAAAATGAAATGAAAGACAGTAAAGCTGTCTAAAAATAATTACACGTGGTGAAAATGACATTTTATTTTGCGAGTAGGCGGCTGGCAGGAGGCATGATAAAATGGCGAGCTGTTTTTGTACCCTTCAGAGCCTTAGTCTGAAATGGCGCAGTGCCCTTCGTCTGAATACAGGGATGTTCGGCGGGAAGCCTAACTACACTCGCCACCCCACAAACTACAAGTACTGTAGTATTGATTCAACACATACTTTCTTGCACTACTTGCAAACGGTTGCGAAATATTATACTACTAAATAAACCTGCTAAAGTGTTTCTAATCCGCAAAACGTTTTTATGATACCGAGAACTGTGTCCTTCCAGTGAACATTCAGAGCATCTTATAGATACACGACCTTTCCCACAGCTATAGTAAGCTTTGCCAAGCTAAAAAATCGTAGTATTACTCATTATTTATATCTTTTGCAGTTATATGAAATTCAGACAGTTCAACAAAAATGAGGCTTTTTACTCTATCCGAGGAAAAAGATTAAAGAAAAACTTTGAAGCCATTTTAAAGAATTATCTTGCATTGTATAGCAGAAATTCCGTGAACGTCAACAATTTTTTTTAATCGTAATTGACGTTCTTTAATGAAAAATTAATATTGTAAAATAAATCATTATGTACTTAATTATAATTAATTGTACTTTTGAAATATAAATATTTTGGAATTTTCGAAAATAGTAGACGAAAATGAGAATAGCGTATTTATTTACCATTCTGTGCTACATAAGTGGAAACAAAAGAAAGAACGTACCCATTCGTTAGAAAATATAATCGCATTAAACATTGCGGTCAAAATTACATTGCAAACATTCCTGCCAAATTATGCGAAATCTACTCATATTTTCAAAAAATTGGACATGACTTCATCTTGGGATCTGGACTGTAACAACAGACTAGAGTCTGAAAAAATATATATCTCCAAGTATTTCTGCATTGTAGTTGGAGGAAGACTCAGAAAGTTTTGCAATTTTCGAGAATTTAGAGATGAGACCTATTAAATTTTTAAACGGTCTTTACTCCATAGACGACATTTTTCAATAAGAAATGTAAAGCCTTTTTTCAGAAAGCTTTAAAAATGTGTCTTCATGAAAAGTACCCAAAAGGCCCAAATTGTCTGTCTGTTTGTTTGTCTGTGAAAAACAGTAGCACCGAAATTATTGGTAGGATTTTTTTCCAAAATGAATATTTCCCGATCGGAATGGCCTGCTTCAAAGCCATGGAGTTTGAAACGAATACTTCCCATGAAGCCCTTGGATATTTTCAAAATTTTCTCAAAAATAGCTCCAAACTTTTTGCTTAATTATTTTCCCCGAATAGAACAAAGAACACTTAAAAAGGGCTTTGATTCATTCTCGTTGAACTCTGAATTTACGAAAGTTTAATATTTTTTCGTTGTCCAACATTAACTCTACATTTCATAATTGCCCTGCACATAAATTTTAACTAATAAATACACTTCTTAAATACATTTAACTTCTCTACACTTACATTTCACTTCTCTGCTCTATTGCACTACACTTCACTAAAAGGCACGACACTCCTATTCAACTACTACTTTAAATGTAATTATATATTTAATAAATCAATGAATTTAATAGTAATTATCACAATACTAATAATAAAAATAACAATTATAATAAAATAATAACTATTTTAATAATCCTACTTTACTAGTTAATACATTTTCAAATGTCCTTCCAAATATTCTTTGAAAACATTGTATACCTAGAGGAATGGGTACCATGTCTGTCGCAGGCAACTTATTCCAGTCCGTTATTGTTCTATTTGGGAAGGAAAATTTTCCAGTGTCTGTTCTCTGTGCCCTGAATTGGATTTTGTGCTTTTGATCGCCTATACTAAAGTAAGTGGGTTGAGTCGAATGTATCTTTTCAAGCTGTATAACCGGCATACGCTTTGTACAGGGCAGAGAGTCTTGCCTTAACCCTCCTGATTTCTAGAGACTCCCATTCAACTTTCCCGCTATTGCTGCGGAAAGTAAGTTTACACGCTCTTCTCTGTACTCCATTCAAATATTCCTTTTGTGAATTTCTATAAGGGTCCCAACAAATCGACCCGTATTCCACTAATGGACGAACTAGAGATAAGTAAGTTAATGCTCTTGCTTTCGCAGATCTCTTTTTTAGTATTCGCAAAGTAAAATGCAAAGACATCCAGGATTTCCCTACGACAAAGTTTATCTGATTTTCCCAATTTAATTTGCTACTAAAAATTATTCCCAGGTACTTACAAGACATGACTCTTAAAAAATATTTTCGTTGCCTAAACGGTATTGAATTTCACTATATTTGCAGCCCATTAGACTACTTTTTGAAACACTTATTATCATGCTATTTTTCTGCCCAGAAATGTAATCTCTCTCGATCACCTTGCAAAAAATCCTCGTCTGCTTTTCATTGCATAACTCGACATATTATACAGTCATCTAATAATAGTCTTACCTTAGAAAATAAATTGACTGGCATGCCGTTTACAAACGCAAGAAGGAAGAGAGGTACAATAATGCTTCCTTGAGGAATCCTTGAAGTTACCTTTGCCAGAGTTGAAAATTGTTGTCCAACTCGGACTTTGTTTCGTATCTTTAAAAAGCTCATCAATACACGCCTCAACTCTGGTGACAATACCCGAATGCATTAATTTACTAGTTTATCGTGTGGTACAACATCAAATGCCTTCGCAAAATATATTATTACGGCATCCACCCTCCCACCATCATCAACT